CCCATGTACTTGGTTCTTGTTTATGTCTCTCTTGGATGGGTTGTTCTGAAATGTTTTATTTTCCTTTGGGATCAATAAAGTATTTTTGGAAATACTGGATTGAAAGTGTTGAGTTGGAAACGTCTTCATGCACAGAATAAACTGTTTGCATTTGAAGAGCTGCAGCTTTATGAAATATTAACTTGCAGAAATAAATGCTCTTGTTTTGTGCTAAATGTTTTATCATCTGCCACCAAAAGCAAACAGTGATAATATTTTTATTCATGACCATGTACATTAGTGTTAGGTTTGTCTATAATGTTAGCAAAATATCTTCTCAAGCAGCAAACATTTTATTTAAACCAAGAAAGATGTGCAAAAACTATCTTTGGAAATTAAAATCATTCCAAATGTCTGCTGCAGCTTCAGGACATAGTGAACAAAAATCACTTTACCTTCGGTTTTGTTAAATTTGGTGTGGTAGTTACTGATCATCCCTCCAACAAATACTCTGAGCACCAACAATCATACTGATTCTAATATTCTACCATCAACTACTGGAGTCAGATGGGTCTGTTAGCAAAATATCCCATGAACCAGCAAATAGACTTGAATAAAACAATCAGAAAGTAAGCCTGGCCCTCGCCTTCCTACGCAGCTTCGCTCAATTCTAGTTTCCCTTCATTGCTCCGTCTGGGACTTCACCCATTGACAAGGATTTCGCTGGCAGATTTTTAGTCGGGCCAACCAGAGAACAGAATGTCAATTTTCTGTGCAGTGTCTGCTTGTAGTTTATTTTACCTGGGCGAATCAACAAACAGAAGGCGAAGTTTTGAATGACGTCGATGTTCTGCGCAGTGTCTGTTAGTTATTTTAGCATACGGCAGTGGATGAAGTGAATGAAGCCAATCCGTGTTGATGAGACTTCCAAATCAAAATAAATTTGTCTGAGGAAGCAGCAGCTCTCATTTACAGTCGTCTCATTCGGCTCAGTACTTTTCTTTTCTCAGTAGGGTTGTTTACAGCACACGCGACTTCCGGTTAGCTTCTTAGCTTAGCCTCCATCACAGCGACAACACATACACGCTTCAGCAGAGGCCCCGCCTCCTGCATGAAACGCTTGTCTATGCATAAAGTCCAGACCCTTGTACGAAGCAAAGTGAAGGACAGGGTCTGGTTTCAACCAGGCTGGCACTGAATGTATCTACAACTCAGGCAGGTAGTCAGGCCCACTTTAAAGGACCAGAGCCTGCTATGGGCGTTTCAACAACAATCTGCAGGACTGCCCTACAGGCATGGATCAGACGTCAACACTCAATCCGATGGAGGGAGCTGACGGATTGTTGACAGGTACGGGAACTGATAAATGGCCCAAATCATGGATTTGGAAAATCCCTTCTTGCCTTGACAAGGAACACTTTAAGTACACTGGTTGGAGTCCTAACTGGGCACAATCTGCTCAACCGCCATAAAATGGTGATGGGACTCCAAGACAATGGTCTGTGTGATGCCTGCGGCATTGAATCAGAGACCTCTTTACCTACTTAGGCTAATGCTTGGCTCTGAGTAGTCTAAGGGAAAGAATTCTTGGAGACCCCTTTGTGGATCCCGAGAAGCTTAGAACACTGAGGGTTTCTAACCTGGTGTCCTTCATCCGAGGGACAAAAAGGTTTGATTAAAGCCCAGTATCTTTTGGGGAGAGCAATGGGCCCACTTATGAGGCCCCCGCTCACCTGGGTTGCACCCATCCCCAATTACCATCTACCACCATTAACCATCATCTACAACTCAAATTCGAGATGCAACAACTACCTGACCTTCCCCTAACAAAAAGTAGCATAGGCAAGTATCCATTGAATATACTAATTCTAAACTAAAAGGAATAAATGAGTATATTTCCAGTTTACATTTTAGCTAAAACATTCTTAACCAAGTTCATCTTACACTTTACTTGGATGGTAAATGTCTAAGCACACTTAGCCTATAGTTGTTTAAACTTTTGGCAGTAGTAATACACTGGAAGTTCATTTTCAAACAGRCTGGTTTATTTGTTTAAAGGTGTCCTGTTTTTAAATCCTTGTCAGTTTTTGGAACAAATACAACAATGAAACTACAAGTGAGCTGCTGCAGAGAAGACTACGAACATTTGAACAATTCAATAATTTTACACAACAGCTCAGTGGACTGTTCTGTGCACTGCATGCCAAGGTCAGAGTGAGTTTTAGTGTGACTAGAACTGTTTGGTAGAGTCAAATAAAATACCTGAATCTATTTTTGTCAAAATGTTCCAAAATTTTTCACTCGACATGAAAGGTAGAGTAGAAGTATAAGTACATAGTTATGGATTATACATCCATCCATCCATCCATCCATCCATTTTCTGTACACGCTTCTTCCTTTTCAGGGTCGCGTGGGTCACTGGTGCCCATATCCAGCAGTCACAGTGCGAGGGGCGGGGTACACCCTGGACAGGTCGCAAGTCCATCACAGGGCCACACAGAGACAAATGAGACAAACATTCAGTCTCTCACCCACACCTAGGGACAATTTAGAGTTATCAATTAACCTAACAGTCATGTTTTTGGTCTGTGGGAGGAAGCCGGAGTACCCGGAGAGAACCCACACATGCACGGAGAGAACATGCAAACTCTACCCAGAAAGGTCCCCAGACCAGGATTTGAACCGGTGACCTTCTTGCTGAGAGGCATCAGCTCTACCAACTGAGCCACCGTGCCGCCCGGATTATACAGGAAAATGTATTTTTATACACTAAGTTGTGAAATGTATTCTAAGTGAACTAACAGCAAACCTAAAATGTTAAAAATCAGTATACCTAAAAGTAGCTACTTTTACCAACTAATAAAATGGCACTTGAAGTTTACTGCTAGTAAACTAATAGTATACCTAAAAGTGCAACCACTGTCTCATTTATTTAATGTGCTGTTTTAAATCAAACTAATTGAAAATTATGTTTTATTTGTTTAAAATTGTTTATTTCAGTTTGCTTCAAAGCAAATAATGTATATGTTGGAGTAAACTGAAATTATTGTTTGGATTACAGTAATTATTTTGCATTAAACCAAACACTGAACAAAGTGCAACCACTGTTCCATTTATTGAAGTTACACTTTTGTTTTGAACTAAATTAAATGAGTAGTTTATGGTTTCTGATTATGATTTTTAGTTTGMTTTAAACCAAACAATACACAATTTGGAATAAATTAAAATAAACATTTGAACTTAAGTAACAATTTCACTTTAAACAAGAGATCTGTGTCACGTGACCAAAAGTCTCTGGCTCAGAGTGTTGCCGTCTGCCATTTTCTCAACCGTCTTTACTGGAGAGAAGTTATGCATTTCCATCCTCTGTGAGAGCTGCTTTTCGAAAGGTAAATGGTTTTAAATTGGATTGCATTTATGCTAAAATAATATTTTCTATGGATATTTATCATTATTATTTGGTTGAACAGTTAACCATCGGGGACAAATACACTTGTGTTTTAGCTACTTAAATACTTTAGCAGACGAAGGAAGAAAATTTCCTCTTAAGTGACAGTAATATTGTGTAAACTACGATTATTTTATGTTACAAATATATAAAGTGGTGTGATAGTCAATGATAAGCCTTGTTTTTCGTTCATAGGGCAAATCGTGGTTGTGTCACACATGTTAAGACTGCAGGTGCATGCTCGCGGCCGCTTTTTTCTCGCAAAATGAGCGTTACTGTAATACAGTAATTGTAAAGGTTTAAATATATATGTACATATATGAAAATGAGCTCACCTTTCCTTTACCCTGTTTCATGTGCACTGTTGAGAGATCAGGCAGAGAGCTTTGTTTCATATACATGGAACATTTTAATCCGTGACAAACCTTTTCTTGCTGCTCGGTGTAATTTGTGAACGGCCGAGGGAGCGGGAGAGATCGATCATATCCCGCACACCTCATGTGCGTATGCAGGTGTCGTGCCAAAGTGATGGTACGCCATTACTGAGCAGTCGCCGCGGGAGTGTGCACAGCTTCGCACAACAGAATCAAACAGCAAATCTCAGTGAGATGTTGTAATTAAACAATATTACACATTTAAAAAGTGTGCCAAGATTATAGCCAAATTGTGTTTGTTTATTAAATTTAGAATTTTAAAACATGTTCACTTTTCACACTTAAGGTTTGATAACTGTGATATATACATATGACATTGCTTTAAAAAAAATCTGACTTAAAAATGTGAACTCCTATGAGGATCTGCTTTTATAATTTTTATGTAGTATGGATTTAACATCTAATAATTTGTCTGTAGAGATATTTTAATAATAATGCACTCTGTATGAATAATTATGGTGAATCACTCTCTTGAATGAATGGTAAAGCCAAGTTTTGTGTTTACAGGTTTCCTGTGGACTGTTTTACTGTTTGTTGATCTGTTGCTAAATCTGGTAAGTTATCCTATGTGCTATTCATGTTTAATGTTAGATTTTAGTAATTACAAACACATGTGACCTTGAATGAGAAAGTATTATCCGCCAAATTAAACACTTTTTACCAGACAACTAATATAATTTTCTGAAGAAATCTTTACGTGTTCCTAAAAAAAGTGAAATGAAAAAAAAATGGTCACACATGGTCTATGACTACAATAAGACTGTGGATACATATTGATACATTTTTTATTTATTTATTTTTATTAACAATTGTATAGATTTTATTATAATAACACCAGATATTGATGTGCCATCTCTTTAGATTTGTCAAAAAGATGAAGCCGAAAAAGAGCTGGAGAGGTGTACCATGGCAGTGTTTGTCATCAGGGAAGACGAGGATCCTCTCTATCCACCATGTGACATTGGGATTGTCATTGAAGGTGTGGAAGTACTCAACGAGCTGCCGTCACTCGCACATGGTTGTGCCATGCTCTTTGGACTYATTTACGCGCTAAACTTGAGCTACTCAAGTGAGTTAAAGCACACATTTGATGCACTTCAGAAAATCTTTATGGAGATCGAAGTAAAGGCACTGACACGAAAAGTGTACAGTCTGAACATCAAGCTCAATACTGACTGAACATGAAAGGCCATCAGTGCATGTGTATTTCAACACATTTGAGAAGAATGGAAAAAAAAATTGAAAATGTAAAATCGTTGGTTCTAAGGATAAAATTGCTGTAACGTTTGCATCGCTGTTCCTTTTGAAAATGTGATCATTTAAATTGGCAAAATTCATAACAATAATTTTCCTTTTTTATTTCCTGACTTGGGCACTTTTTTCAAAGTTAATACAATGCAACGTCTTGGTTGTCTTTTATTTTTTGATTTTTTTGAGCTTTTCATTTCATGATTGCAATGGTTCTTGTTTTATCAAAATATGGTCACAGTGAAACACCAAAGGCTTGTTGCTGTATGAGGTTTTCAGGGAGAGATTCTTGTTCATGGTTTTACTGAGAAGTTATATTTGTGGAAAAGTAGTATTTACAAACCATTTGTGGCATTTTTTGTGCAATTCAGGAATTTAAGGTATGGCAAAGGCATTTCAAGGTATTTCAAGACTGTAAATTGCATCATCTTCTTAAGGCTTTGGCATAAAGGCTATAAGTCAACAAATAAGACAATAATTTGTTGGAGGGTTCTATTTGAATGTATTTTATTGTATTTTTATTTTTATTTTTTGGTATTAAAATGATGCACTTTTTGTTATAATAAAGATTGTTTTGAACAGCTTTCTGTCGTTTAATGTAAATTAAATTAAAACCAAACAGGATGAATTGTAATAGCCTGAATTAAGGAGCATATTGACTTGTGACTGAAGAAGTTTTACTGAGTAAGGTAGAAGTGCATTTACAATTTA